GAATCTTTTAATATATTACATTAATAAAGCTCAAATATAATCACCGTTCTAATATTTAACCTTTATTTCCCCTTTCTTGTGAATTTCTTTCTCATCATCTTCATACATTTTCATGAATAACAAAGTGGTAAGATTTCTTCATTGTTTCGCAATGGAGTGGAGAATGGCTTTTGCTCAACTAATCTCACTTAGCACCTCTCACGATAATTATACTCTGTTAATTTTACTTTAGATTTCCAGTAATAGTAATTTTACATGTTAGTGTTTGAGACTAGTATATGAAATTCAGTCCAATAATAAGGGGAAGGTGAATGAATAATCAACAATGACAAAGAAAATTTATTAAACAATATTTCTATGATCCATATTCTTAAAAAATATATATCATACAAATCATGATCTAATTAGTTACAAATATAGTTAAATCAGAACTAAATAATATTTCTATAATTTAACTCTTAGCAAACTAAATAACATTCAAATTTCTGTCTGATTATTTACATCTGCAAATACAGATAAATTTGTAAAAACATAAATCATAACAAAATATAAAAAGTCAACAATTTTTTCATATTTTTTAATCTTAGCAAACTCTATATCGTACAAATCACTCCCTACTTAGCTACAAAAATAATAAAATATAAAATTTATCAATGTGAGGATTTATTTTATTTTCAACAACTGAATTTTTAAATTTTTTAATACTTTCTTAACTAAAAACTATTGTCATTAAACTACTGTATAATTAAATCTTATTTGGGTGGGGAGGGGAGAATGACTTCATTTAGTCACGAGAGTTTGCCTTTACGGTTTACAAACACTCAAACACATGTATAGGTAACATATAAATCTGGATAATTTAATCTTAATTAATATTAATGGTAAAGATTAAAACAAACAGTCTATTTTTTAAAAAAAATTATGTAACTTTTAAAATTAATAATTTGACTTTAATTACTTTTTAATTTCAATTATTCATATAAATGTACGATTCTTATTCACTTACTTAGATATGTCTCACACGTACATAAATATTTAATTTATTAAAAAATGATACGCATGATTAACATGCTATAGCGATAGAATTTTATTGTTGGAAAGTTTCATATATAACTTGTAAGTTAATTCAAACTGAAAATTACATTGAATATAGATGAAAACTATCAAAAAAAGAAAATGTGCATTAACTGAGACCTACAAGAATTGAGAGATCCGAGCAAAACTCGAGTCTAATCCAACTCAGCAATATAATAACAACATATTAATACAATTTTTTTGAAGACATCTGAAGATTTTCGTTATATTATAATTTTAAAATTTAAAAACGTAATTTAATAATGACAGCATTGATAAATTGATAAAGTGACATGGTTGGTTCTAAACTGGAGTGAAAATTTAGGGAAAAATGGTGCATGAACTCTCTTAGATGTGAAAAGGATTGATTCAGGAGTTGTGAACATGTTTATGGTAAAAATATATAATAGTGGAACGGTATTTTAACTATTATAAAACCTTGCCGAAAACATAAATAGCTTTGACCTATTCGAACAAAAGAGGATTCGAGATTGCAACACGCATATTTGTATTTTATTTTATTTTATTGAAATACCAACAAAAGTTTATTTAAAATAATGGGAGTGATCGTGTCCACCACAAAGTTTATTTGTGATGGATGCACTTTGATGCTTTTTCTTCTTTTTTCCCACTTGCCTACGTAAACACAGTTTCTGGCCGCAAATTAAAAAAGGGAAAAGCTTAAAGCTATTCTTACTTTCAGAAATAGCGTGTAAAGATCAACAATGGAGTTTCCGGCTACAAATAGAAGGCTGCGGTGTTTTCATTTACAATAATTTTTCTTGTCGCAGAATCAAATTTCTGGAAGATTTATGCTCATTTAGAATCATATAAGAAAAATATGGACTTAAATATATTTTATGATAAAGCTTGTATGATGTTTTTTAAGTGTTATTTATTTTGTTTATTGATTAATTTTTTTTTATATATTAATAAGGTGGCAAAGATTTGTTTCAATCCTTTCACAAACCCAAATAAATGTCAATTTTACATGCTCTGAAAATAATTCCCAGATAACAACCTTCTTTACCATAATGCTGCCCAAAAATCGCTTGAGATTGAGATTTAAGTTGTTAGGGTTATTATGCACTTGTGCGTATCAAATGAAGGATGCTAGTGATGAAGACATTTACGAGTAATATAGTAAATTCGTTACTAAAATTAGAGGTGAAATGAATCTTTCAAGTTATAAAATATTATATCAGTTTTTCCAATTACTAAAGACGATTAGTTTATTTCTTGATCTTATAAAATAATAGTGATTTTAGTTTTTAAACTATAAAAATTAAAATAAATAATATTTGAGACTGAAAATAGTAATCTATACTTATAATTTAGGGATTTATTTAATACATTAATCAATAATGTACTGGCTACAGGGTTGATTTGTTCCCATTTGTCTTATAATCCCTAACATAAAGCAGGTCCTTTGGAAGCTAGCTTTAAAAAACTACAAAACAAAATCCATGGGGGTCTTGAAGGCTCTGGGTACTTCAATCATGCCCTACTTTGGTAACTTTTATTTGAACACTTTCAGTTCTTCAAACTATTCATGAACAATGATATTGTCTTGACCCCCTCCCCCCACCCAAAAAAAAAAAAAGAAAAAATTAAAAAAGAAAGAAAGATCAACATTGGCAGCAGAAAGATTGTACACAAGACGCAAACATTGTAGAAACAAAAGACCAGATAGTGGGAAAAAAAAGTCATGACAATGTTTTTTTTAACTTGAAAAGTAAAAAAAAAGAAGGGATACTTTTAAATTAAATAGTTAACCAATAAAACACGTCTAATAACTGAAGCTATGAAATTATAGATTACTATCTGATTTTTTTTTCTTGGAAGAGAAAAATAGAAATACGAAAATGCTAAATGAACCAACCAGAAGATGTTAAGCCAGCTTCGTCATCTTACTTTACTTCTGGTTTTGCATCAATGATTGAATAGCTTCAGCTTGATTATCAGAGTATGAGGATTAAGAGGACAAATCCTAGGCATGCTAATTACTGTGACCAATCTAATAGAACATTATTTCGTCTTGAATGTTAACTGTGACAGCAAAATCCATGATTTCATAAGGAAAATTTCAAAACCATTCAGGTCAAATCAAAAGATTAATCACATGGACGGCGCAATAAGATGATGTACATAAATTCGGTAAATGAGTAGAAGGAACCAGAAACTAGTCTACTACCCCATATAAAGGAAACAATAAAGCATCTAATTGATTAGAAAGGTTTTTTATGCATATATACAAGAATATTATTATGGTCCTTAATTTATACATTTCTTTTTCGTAACAATCGGTGTTGGTGGTTTAATATGTTACACTCTGAAATTGTATAAGTATTGTTGGGTTGTAGACAAATCGTATGGATCCAATTACAAAAAACAAAAACAAAATGAACACCAATAATTCAATGCTATCCATTTCAACCCGATCCAGTAATTATTTCTATTATTTCTGTTTTTTCACGTCTATGAGGTTTTTATTGGGTGTTTTTCTTTTGTCTAAGGTTTTTATTGGACTGAATGGTTTGTGGTAATGAGACGTTGTTGGGCCAAGATAGGAGGTCCTACAAAACTGGAACGGTTTACTTTTAATCAAGACACAGTTGGAATGTGAGATTCAAACAGTAAGTGCATGGGAATTGGATAATAATTGTCAGCACAAAAAATAAATAATTGCTTTTTTTTTTCCTCAAAAGTTCTATTTTAATTATAATATATATGCAAACACAAATTAAGCTAATTTAAATATACAATAACTTGATGTCAATTATTTTTAACCTATTTGCATCAACAATTAATAAATGAGAGAAAGTTGAGAGAATTTGGATAGAGATGGCAAATCAATGCTTACACATTACTATCAACTATCAAGAGATTATACAGGGAAAACTAAGAAGAAAATTAGAATAATTAAGTGTAATAAAAATTAATGATGCCTTGTACCCAAAGAGTGATAAATAATGGCAAATGGCTATCTTCCCAAAGAATAAATTGTTAAGTGTGAGTGGAGCTCAGGCACATGTTTGCTTGGGTATGAATCCTCACTATCCCACGAACTAGGCACTGTTGAATTGTGATTTTTATTGGGATCCATGACTTCTATTTTGTCACTTAGTACCATTAATTGATTGTCGGAAAGTGCTGAAGGCTTCCCCAGTATTTGCCTAATTCTTCCTCCACTTGCTCATAGTTTTAAATGTCCTACTTGAGTAAACACATAAGCATATTAAACTTATATCAGAAAATAGTTTGATACATAACCTTAGTAAAACAGTAATATTTTAGAAATCAAAATTCCACAGCGCAAAACTCATCCTCCCAAGGCATGCCACCATTTAACACTTCTAATATACTATTTGTTATTATTTAAAATTTATTAAAAACTATAAAAATACAAAAAATATATTAAATTATGAGTGAGACTTTCATAATTGTTGTAATTTTGATAAATTTTAGCTAATAATCAAGAGTGTGATAGAAAAATTATGTTAAAAAAAATTAGCATTCTCTTAAAAGATTTCAGCACAAGCAGAGAATTTTTCAACTTTATTTCATTTTTCCTTTTTTATTAAAAAAAATCATAATGGATGTGCATTTAATAAAATTTATATTCTAATTCATTAATAGGATACTAATTAGCATTCTCTAAAATTGTAAATCTTTAAACTTTGTATGCAAGCAAATCTCAATCAATAATCATAGATAATTAAGAATGCAAGCTACGGAGAAGGGACATAGGAACATGTGGAATGGCACTAATCTCAAGTAGAGAGTAGACACATTGAGACATGATTCACTTCTTAAGGCGCACACGACGCTTGCATTGAAAAAGATAGCTAGCAAAGTTCAAGTCCTCACAGTATAAAAAACCCATTTCCTTTATTGATGGCTGATTTGCTTACTATTCGTTAGTCATGGCAACGAGGGTGGTGCTGTTGATGGCCCTCACCCTCTATATCCTCCCTTTGCTTTTTCCCGTTGCTACAGCAACGTTCCATGTCAAAGGTTCCGTTTACTGTGATACCTGTCGTGCTGGATTCGAAACCAATGCCACCTTTTACATTGCAGGTAGATACGATGATATTGAAAATAAATCCTCATATGTTATATATTTTAACATGACAAAGTCGCGTTTAGATTTTTTATGTCTCTATAGCCAATTTAATGTCTACAAGAAAAAATATAGATACAAAATTTAAACATGACTTGTCATGTACATCATATGATCAATTCTTGTTAACATCGTTTGTGGCTTATTACCAATTTGTTGGTGCATAAATTTAACTAAGGTTAATGTTCTTATGTTGCATGCAATGGACGCTTTATGATTAGGTGCAAGGGTAGCAATTCAGTGCAAAGAAAGGAAGACTATGAACGTGGTTTTCTACACCGAAGGAGTGACAGACTCAACGGGAACATACCACATTGAGGTTGCAAATGACCACAACGACCATATTTGTCAATGCTTGCTTCTTCATAGCCCCTTGGAAGGTTGTAATAAAGCAGACCCTGGGCGTGGTAGATCCAGCATCGTGCTCACCCACATAAAAAATGGTGTGGTCAACCATATTCACTATGCAAATGCTATGGGTTACTTGAAGGACAAGCCTTTGCCTCAATGCAAGGAACTGCTTAAATACTACCTGTCTGACTCGGATGTTTGATAAATAATTTTGAAGAACAACCTGTTCTTTTTTTTGTGTTTTATGGATTAATTACACTGATCTATATATATATTTCTGTTGTTAAGTACTTGTTGAGCTTGGAGTGACACTAAACTTCAGTTTGTAGCTTGTTACTACTAAGTTTTGCTTCATATATCTGTATTTGATTAGGTCACTTAATTGTGGCTTTCTAATGCTTGATTCTTGTTCAAGTCTCCGGCCATTTTTTTAAAGCATTAAACCAATTAACTAATAAAACAATAAACCATTAACAAGATTTTATTACAAACAATTGGATAAATAGAATGAGACGTAAGAAAGGTTTTCTCACTGAGAGGGATCTCCTCCCTGCGTGGTATTGCATGTCTCTTATTATTATTAAGAATAATAATACATATGATAAGATCATTGTAAATTTACTAGCCAGCTTAATACAAATAAACTGAAACACAGCAGCATGTTAAATTAATTAAATCGAACAACATTATTATTTTTAAGTTAAGTCCCACATTGAAGTTGCATCCTCTTGGCCTTGTGGAATCAGTGCTTGTGCTAGATTTTGAGTCAAGTCCACATTATCTCTTACCATCTCTAGTGCTGCTTGCAATTCAAGATCATCAATACCATTAAGCCAATATCCTGCATTATTGTGGTCTAGTGTCTCACTCCCACCAGCAATCTTTCCCCCGCTCACATCGCTAAGATTAGCCATATTCATCCAATCATCTAAGGTTGCGAGTGGTGCATCATTGGAGAGAGAACCAAGGAAAGGAACATGGCTTTCTTCTGTGCGGTAAGCACAAAGGGATTCATGGTCCATCCTAGAGTTTTTATCTCTAAACCCCATAGACATCTCACTTTGTGGACACTCGAAATTTTGACAAGCATATAGCTTATCCACGGTAACGCCACCATCAAAAACACACTTCCTCTTCTCACTTGATCTGCTACCTAAGGAGGAGGGTTCATCCACAACATTTAAAACTTGAGCAGAACTTTCACCTTCCTCATTGTTGTCATCTTTCTCTGAAGATATTTTGAGGCACTTCTCAGTTAGTTTAAGCAAAACTTCTTCTTGATTCACTACTTTAGACCAAGTAGCATTGTCCTTGGCTGTCATCTTATCTTGCAAGGTCTTGGACTGAGTAACCAACCTTCTAAGTTTACCCAAATCAGGAGAAATGTGTTTGATAACTGCAGCTAAGACAGAGACTTTCCAAGCCTTTTTCAAATCATGAGGCTTCTTATAAGGTGGTGGGCCATGTTCTTGGGCCAGAAGCCCTTGCTCACCCCACCAAATTTCTTCTCCTGTGGGCCACCAAGGTGGAGTTATTCCTCTTTCCAAAGGGAACCTTCTTTGTGGAGGGATACAGTGTTGCATGAGAGCAGAGAGGAGAGAGCCCAAAGTAGAGTCTTGTAGGTCTTGAAGGAGGTGTATATAAGAAGTTAGATCCATCTCACCCTTCTCAAGGAGTGGCAAGTACTTAGAAACGGCAACAGGGGCATTTTGGTCAAAGCGGATTTGGTCTTTCCACCACTCTCGCAAGCTGTCAGAAGAACCAGACACTGGCTTTCCCTTCTCTGGAATGATACCATAGACAAAACCTTGGGCGTTGCAAACTTCCATGATCTTCACCATGTACTTGAGGACAGAATCTTGTGCTCTTGACATCTTCTTGCGTCTTGAAGCTTCTTGTTTTGCATTTTGGTCTGGCTCTTCTTTGTCTCGTTTTTCCTTCAGCTTCTGTAGCAAGATCCTGTCCTTCCACATGCGTTTCTTGAGCTGGTCATAGTCGATGCATTCAGCTTCGCTGTCCTCTTCAGTGATTTCTTCTTGTGCGTAAGGATCAATCTCTTCGTTGATCAACACCATGACTATGTTTATTCTTCCTTGCTCGATTCCTTTGGCAAGCAAATGTGGATAGCTAGAAAGATGTTCAGTTGAAGCAATATTAATAAAGGCATAGGAAATAATGAAAGATATATAAGAGAGGTATGGTATAGCTTAAATGGAAGGAAATGAAGGTTGTGTTTATATATAGATAGATGAAAGTGGTTGAATATGGCGGTGCTAGAAGGGTCTCAGAAAGTTAAATTAAGATAAAGAGAAGAAAGAAAGGGAAAAAAAGAGTAATGAAGACAAGGTAGGCATTACCGAGATGTAGGTAAGTGATGCAGTGTGGCCAATGATCTGAGCAAAAGGTGGTGTTGGCGCCAGGTGTCAAGGATGGGCGGTTTTGATAAGTAATTGCAATTTGCATGGAAACTTTTGCTTTTTGCATGCTTGTTGACTCTACTCATAAGAGAGTTAATTTGTTTCCATTTCCAATACATGATTATGATATATACATATGAGCTGGTTTTTGACCAAAGTCACCATTGTGACTTTGTGATGGATGATGTAATGCCCAACGTGATGGATGCTTGTGTTTAGTTTATGGTAACGGATATGATTAGGACACTTTTGTTTTGGTGGAAGATAGGTGACCTTTAAGGTTTCTTTTTGGATCCATGACTAAGTCTGGTGAAGGGACAAAAATTAATTGGAGAATATTTTTGGTTGTCGACCAAAATTGGATTGAAGAGAGAGAAGAACACTCAATTAAGGAAAGCCCATTCTTGTGGCCTATTTTACTTTTCAAATGTTAATGTTTTTATGAGGCCTGTATGATACAAAATGAACACCTGGGTCGGATTAGATATTGTCATTTTATTTAAACTCTTATGCTGACTCTAAGGTCAAAATTATTGAATAGTCTGAAGACCAGCCCATTTGAAAGTTAAGAAGTGTTAATATCACAAGTGACAGTCTATCCTTCGTAAATTTGCGAAGATTGTAAAGTAAAGGGTTTCATGTGCGACGAATCCACCCTTTTGTTTCTTTTTTTATTTATCCATTTTTTAAAAATAATTATAAAAAATAATGAATATATATTCTTATTTTTTTATACGACTTTCATTATTATGTTTTATTTATAACAAATAGTTAAATATATAAGAACTAAGCAGTATTAAAATTAAGACATAATTAAAAAAATAATTAAATTTCTCTTAGACTTTGAAATAAAAAGATAAATATGAAATTTTATTTCATATATAGATATATAAAAGGGTGTAATATGTTTTTTTTTTGTTTTAATTTATCGTCTAATTTAATTTAGATCCGATCGTAAGTGACCTAGATATGATGGGTGATTTTTTTACTAAAATTTTTTTGTATATGTAAAAATTTAAACTCAAAATCTTGTTTAAGTGACCGACTTCAGTAGTATATATATGATTGAGATATTGAGACATTATTTCACTAAATTTTTGTCATCCTCACTGTTAGTATTAATTATTAGATGATTAGATAAGTTCATTCATGATGAATGATTACTTCAAATTCAAACTCTTAATATTATAAAAACATCGTTTATGATTATCAAAATTACTTTTCTTTTTTTTTCTTTTGGTCACATCCTTGCCGACTTCTGGTGTTGGAATATAGTTACTGTTTTCATTAGCATCAGAGAACTCGAGATGAGAAAAACTCTCCACCGATTGAATACGAAGAATGACATGCCAAGCAACAATAATATATCATTTAAATCTATTTCATTATTAATATGAAAAAATCACACATTTAACACATAAACACGTTATCAATTAAAAGAAATTCTAACTTCTATATATTTTTATATTTTTCATTACATATTATGAAATGATAATAAAAAACTATTATGAGATTAGATAATTTAATTTGATCCTATAGGAAGTAAATATCAATATACAACATATATATAAGAAACAAATAGTTCGACAGCAAGAGCCCAAGTCTTGACTGAAGGAGAAATAGAACCGGATTTTAAGGATCAGATAGCGGGCAATTTTTTCCAAACAATGACAACCATTATTTTTTCTGACATAACTATTCATTCTCTAATTTGATTTTTGTCACTTTGTGCGTACCTATGCAAATTGGAAAGACATTGCACTCTCTTCCCATTGCTTTACCCTCTTTCTTTGTCGTTGCTTCCTATGCCTAATGCCTCACATAGCTCACACCTTTTCCTTCTCTCTTAATCAACATTAACTGGAATGAACTAACGAAGATATCAATAATAACACACAACACGAGGCATTTTCTTTGTTCAGTGTTGCACTAGTAAGGTCTTTACTGCTCCGTGTAATAGTATGTAACTTAGATTCCTTTTTAGATTCCTTTCACGAAACTTCCCTTAATTGTTTTATTTTATTTGTTACTTTACCACCCTTTTCATACAACACTGTCTCCACCGAGGCTATACAAAATCTAGGAAGCCAACACATATATAACGACATTGATACGCTTCAACATTTTGTTATAATAATTTGGACTTTTTTGGAGTGTGCATTTGATGGCTTAACCCACCCACTTTCACTCTTTGCCCTTCACTTCTAAACAAAGTTAACAACTACTCATTTTTGCTTTTGTCTGAGCTGAACATTTTATACATCATCAACAATTGCCTTTGTTTTCGCTACCCGGGTCCAAGGCTCTTGTCTTGTCGCTTTTTCTTCCACATGTTGCAACCATGCAATGCAACTCAAGGACGTTATTTGTGAATGGTGTAATCCGCATTTACAGGGAACTTCTAGTTGGTCACACGTAAAACAGTGTTGGGATCATTTTTAATGCAAGGTGAATGGTTAATAGGGTGAAGGGGTTCCTCAAGTGTTTGAACCTTGAAAAGAAAATGGGTTGTGTGAACTCCAAAGCTGAAAAAAACGAAGCTTTGTGTCTTTGCAAGGAACGAAAGAGGTTCATGAAGGTGGCAAATGATTCAAGATATGCTTTAGCTGCTTCACACCTTTCTTATATTCAATCTCTTCGAAACGTTGGGTTCGCTCTTCGACGATATGCTGAGGCAGAGATGCTGATAGAGTCATCAATGTCGGTTTCAGACCACAGCCCATCTCAATCTACTTACCCTTCTTCATCTCCGTCACATGTTGATGATGCTTCAGAGTCACCATTGAACAATGAGACTCATATGAGTTTTATGAAGTCATGGGGTACTAAAGCTGTGACTGTTATGATCAATCCTCACAGTGACAATTATTTGAATGATGTATCCACCGGGTTCCCAATTCCACCACCTCCTCCTGAAAGTGATGTTTATTGGGATTTCTTTGATCCTGCTGAAAATACTAAGAATTTTGGGTTTTCAAGACATGCAAGTTGCTTCGAAGTGTGTAAGAATGAAGAAAAAACCAATTCACAAATTGCTTTGGAAGGGCAATGTATGAAATCCAACTTGGATGAAAAAGATGTTGCTAGAGGAAATGATTATAGCTGTTGTGAGAATTTATTTGTTTCAAGAGTGGTGGAAGGTTGCAAACAAAGGGTTGATAGAGAAGAGAGAGAGGTAGAGTCATTAAGGAATGGCGATGCTGTGAAAAATGAGTGCACGGAAAGGGAAGATCCTTCTGAGTTCATCACCCACAGAGCTAAAGATTTTCTTACAAGCATAAGGGTTATAGAGCATCGATTCGTTAGAGCTTTTGAATCTGGTAGAGAGGTCTCGAGGCTGTTAGAGGCACACAAAATCAAGGTTGGATATTCTGAGGCAAAAGGTGGTTGTTAACTTTTTATTTCTATAGCTACTTAAAAACTTATATGAATTATGTACATAATGTGTAAAAATAGTTAGTTGTACTTTCTTTTTCTATTAAGCCTAAAGAATGATCTTCCTATGATAGGGAAATTATCTGCCTTGATTTTGCTCACGGCTTTTCTGCTTGTTTGTTGCGGTGAAAAGGCTACACTTGTGTCCCAAGGTATGAGCATTACATCATTAACTTCATTGATTTTTATTATCTTGAGCTTTAATCTCAATTTTTTTTCTTAAGTCACATGTTTAAGCTTTAAAAATGAGGTTGTGGTTTTTTTTTTTTTATAATGATACACAGAGTTTTGATTCTTGGAAGATGAAAATGTAAGATGGACTAATGTATCTTCCTCTATGTAGAACCTGCACAAAAGATTATTAGTTGGAAGCGAACAATGTCTTCTCAATCAGCCTCAATCAGGAACCCATTAGTTGCAACACCGCAAAAAGATAGGGAGGATAATGAAAGTGATTTTGTGGAAGAATCCTGCATGATTTCTGGAAGCCATTCATGTACCCTTGACAGATTGTATGCCTGGGAGAGGAAACTTTATGATGAAGTAAAGGTATTACAGAAAAGAAAATGAAAAATTGACATCACATGATGTCGCATTATGCTATTTTACATGAAAAAAACTATTGATAAGTGTGTTTCTCTGTTGCACATCTTCTCTGTTTCCTTTTTATCTCTCTCCATCAATCCGTTTTGTTTTTCCACAATCAACAGCATATTTGATAGGCTTTGAAGAAGCACTAGATATAACAATTAACAATTAAACTACGATAAGGAGTATATTTAAATTCAGGATTATCTTATATATGTTCTATCCTAGAATAAGCAACTAGTTCTATGAAATATGAATAGCTATCTTATATTTGTTCTGTCTCTAGAAAAAGCAACCAAGTCTATGGATAACTTCAATGTTTTGTGAAGTTTCTCGCCATCTTTTGTAAAATGTATTGTACATTTTGAGTTTTAAATCCTTTGTCTTGTTGATTAAATTGCCTATTGGGTTGTTTGTAGGCTAGTGAATTCTTCAAGAAGGAGTTCGATAAAAAATGTGACCAACTCAGGCATCAATTTGCAAAAGATCAAGGCACTCAAGTGATTGACAAAACTCGCTCAGTGGCAAAGGATTTGCATTCACGAATAATAGTGGCAATTTATTCTGTTAATTTGATATCCAAACGAATTGAGAGGATGAGGGATGAAGAATTGTTCCCACAACTTTTGGAATTAACTCAAGGGTAAGTGTGGATTTTGGACTTTCCACATACTTTTGTGCTGCTAAACCTTGAGCCTTATTAACTAGCTACTTGTTATCATTAAACAACTAAAATATTAATATTATTATTATTCCTTAGTGTTAACTTGTACCAGTTGTTAGCTATGCAGATTAATCAGGATGTGGAAGGCTATGCTTGAATGTCATCATGCACAATACATTACCATATCTTTGGCATATCATTCAAGGAGATCAACAAGAACCTTGGAAGGGGATACTCGCAAAGAGATAATGGGTCAGCTACTAGAAGAATTTGAGTGCCTTGGTGTAAGCTTTGCTCAATGGATCAATAGTCACACGTCATATATTGAAGCTCTCAATGGGTGGCTACAAAATTGTATACTAAAACCAAAGGAACGTTCAAAGAGCAAAAAGCCATTCTCCCCTCGCCGTGCTTTGGCTCCACCTATATTTGTTCTTTGTCGTGATTGGTCTATTGGGATCAAAGCTTTGCCTTCTGAGGAACTAACTCATTCAATAAAAAACTGTGTGTCTGATCTACGTGAAATGATGGAGAAGCAAGATAAAAATCTGAGTGAAAAACAGAATTCAGCTATTGCAAGCACTAGTGGAGAAATTGAGAACAAAATCAATGAGGACAACGAAGATTCTTCATATTTGTGTTGCATACATGCAAGTTTAACCAAGGTTGCTTATCAATTGACTAAATTTTCTGAGGCATCATTGAAGATGTATGAAGATATTAGACACAAAAGTGAAGCAGCTCAAATTGCATATCATAATTGTAGATCTGTTAGGACTGGAAAATTTTGAGCTAAAAATATGCTTGCCTGAAATTAGTAGAAAATATGAAAGATTATGTGATATTAAGTCTTAATTTAGTGTGTTTGGTATTTTTCTTTTAACTCTTTTTGGCAAAATTGTTTCTTTCAGATTCACCTAGTATTTTTTTAATTTTTAATATTATCTTTTTGGTTTCTATCTAAATATTTTTTTCCATCTCTCTCTCATCTTGTGTTTATTTTTATTATTAATAATTAAAATATTTACTCTCTTTAAATATATAAAATTTTAAAAACAATTAAATAATATATTTATCTTCTTATTTAAACTTTTAAAATTTAATATTACTCGTACAATATAAAAAAAAAAAAACTTAGTAATAGAAGTAATGCTATCCTTGCTGTATTAAAATTTTATTATATTTTAAGATTATGTACTTATAAGCTTAAACCTATTTGTTAGTTTTTATACTTTTACACTCACTTTCTTTTATATTTATTTTTATATATTTTTTATCACATTATTATTATTATTATTATTATTATTTTCTCTTTCCTTAGATGGCTTTGTCGTGATATATGCCAGAGGCACTCTCTTCCATCACCCCCATTATCTTATTGCTGAATGTTGCATACTTTTTTATTTTTGTCAACAATAATAAATTGATCAAAAGAAAAGTGGGCCAACGTAACGGTCCACTACAAGAAAAGTGGAGGCCCGTGTGATTGGGTCCAACGTTAGCATCAACAAATGCAGAGCTCGTTGACCAAAAAAACACAAATGCAAGCTTATCGTTATCGCTAAGCATTTTTTTACTTTTATTTAGAAAACTCTATAATTTGCATTTATTGAGGATTTCAGCCAATCAAAACACACATTAGTGTTGGGCTCATCGTTGACATTTTATAAAGTCTACGACATTTATATAGATTACACTAACCGCATTATTCAATTTTAGTGGTACGAATGTGATGCAGGTATTGCTCAAAAAAAAAAAAAGTGATGTAGGTTAACTGAAGAATTTTTTAAATATTAATATATATATATATATATATATATATATACGCGTTTGATTTTTTTTAAAAAAATATATGCTAATTAGTTATAATTATACTTTTCTAACTTGGCATTCGTGGTGGGCTTTTTATTTTTTTAATCTTTTTTAAAAATAATTTCTTAAAATAATATTTTTTTAAAATATATTTTCTGTTTATAATTTTTCTTGTTGTTTCAACACCTATTTCATCTATTATATAAATAAAATTAATTTTTTAAAAAATTATTTAATTTTTTTAACACAGATAAAATTATATAATTATATCATGTGTCATAAGTTTTATCTGCTACATAAATAAAACTTACAAAATCATGTCACGTGTTATGTTAATTTAACTTTCAAAACTTAATTTAAAGAAAAAAGAATAAGTATATCTAAAAAATATAAATATAATTAATTTTTTGTCTTCTCTCTATCATTAATGATATTTATTTTTATCATTATTATTTATCTTATAACTTATATAATTAAATTTAATTTTTGACTATTTAAACTTCAAAAACATGTCAAACAAATCAAAATAGATATATATGAAAAATGGATAAAAATATTAATTATTTTTTAATAAGTAAATTTATTTTAATAATATTAAATATAAAAATATCTATTATTAATTAATATTAATTATATTTTTTAAATGCACTTATTATTTCTCTTTTAAATTAAATTTTTTTCGTTAGATTAACATGATACATGATATAATTCTTTAAGTTTCGTTTATATAACATGACAAAACTTATATGATGATAATACATATTGTAATTGTGTAATTTTGTTTAATTTAAAAAATTAATTTCATCTATACAATAGACGAAATAGGTACTAAAAAAAATCTTTAAAAAAATATGTTTTTAAAAATTATTATTTTAAAAAACATTAAAAAAATAAAAAAGCCTTAGCGGTGCCACATTTTTTCAGTTACTGTCCCCTCTCCGCTGAGGCACTGACACATCAGCATGCTTGATGGGCCCCATCTATTGTTCGCCGTAAGCTTTTTCATGGTTCCATACTTCAGTAAGAATAGATAAATTAATAACAATGCATCTTATACTTCTGCCAATAATAATAATATTTTATTAAAATAATACATTATGTTATTATATATATATATATATATATATAGAGAGAGAGAGAGAGAGAGAGAGAGAACTCTCGTGACAGTGCATGAATCTGAGTACAGGCATTTGTGCCATTTCTATTTATTTTTCAGAAAACTGTTTCTTTATATTATACTTAAGTTTTATTAATTTTAACTTTTAAAATTAAGTACGCTGAGTTTAAAATTTAAAGAAAGTGTTTTTATATTTATTATATTAAATTTATAAAATTATGATAAATATAATTTTAATAAAATATATAATTTTAAAATTAATATTTTTAATACAATATTTAGATAAGTTTAAAAGGTAAATTCATTTTTCAGATGTGATTTTAGAGCAGCCAAACCAGATTTTGTATAAGAATATAATGTTTAGACATATTAACTCAAAATTAAGTATCCATAGAGTCTTAGTCTGGAGTTAAGAGTTCAATAGACATAATGTTAAATAGAGAGAAAATATATTTAAATATATTTTTTTATTGAAAAAACATAAGAACCATTTTTTAATTACAAAACAAATGTATCATGTTTAAAAAAATTATAAAATAAGTTTGACTAAAAATAAAATATATTTTTAAATTATATTTAAAGTTTTGTGTTACATTATTATAATTTTTATTCGAAAAAATATTTTTAAAATACAAATTAATTTACTGGAAAGTTAATTTTATTAAATTATTTTATAAAAACATGAACTAGATTGATTTTATAGTGCTTGTTAAGTTAAAAAATTTAAATTAATAAAAATATGTATTTTTATTATAAATGTAAAGTTGTTTTTATAAACTTGTAAATAAAAAAACTCATAATATGCTTCTACTTTTGGATAACTTCGTTGTGCTTGTGTGGAGGAAGAGCCGAGCCAATTAGAGAGAGGAAAGGACAAAATAGGCATTAAGTACCAAAAGTTGACATTTTCGAGGGAAACATAGACCACATGTTTCAGCCCAATTATACGACAACGCGTGTCCAAAAGTGCTATTAGGTGGAGGTGATATGTGCCAATGATCATGTGAGGCACATACACGTGTCAATTTTGCATAGGGTAACCATCATCGAATAAAGGAATCATTGAAGTTGACGATGCAAGTAATTAAGCATTAATTAAAGAAGAAAAGAACGTGATTAGTGGAAGGAACATTGAGGCGTGTACACACACCCAAACCCGTGGGCTACAAGAAGAGTATAAAAAGCAACAAAAGGGTTACCAAGAAAATGCAAGAGTGAAACAAGAAACATTTCTCCTATTTCTTCACTTGTAAAGCATGGCAATGGAAACAGTGATAGATCTGTATAATAATAGTAGCAACATCACAGAAGAACTCATGAAGGCACTTGAGCCTTTTATGAGTGGTGATTCTGATTCATCTATCGCTTCTTTAACCTCTTTTTCTCTTTCTTCTCCTCCTTCTTTGACGACATGGAACAACACCCAAGGTAGTTCCATAAGATTGAACCAACTCACACCATCTCAAATTCATCAGATTCAAGCTGAAATTACGTTGAAGAACCAAAATAATAACGTGTTTCTTAGCCCAAAACCTGTTCCAATGAAGCATCCTGCAAAACCCGCAAAGCTTTACCGTGGGGTGAGACAAAGGCATTGGGGAAAGTGGGTGGCTGAGATAAGACTCCCAAAGAATCGTACCCGTCTTTGGTTGGGTACTTTTGATAGCGCTGAAGATGCAGCTTTGGCATATGACAACGCAGCGTATAAGCTAAGGGGTGAACATGCAAGGCTTAATTTTCCTCATCTACGTCACCATGGAGCTCTTCCCTCATCCGTGGATGCAAAGCTTCAAGCTATTGTTAACTCTCAGGTGAAAGCAGAAAAGCCTTGTTCTGCTAACGTTGTTGTTAAGGCAGAAACATCAGAGTTGGAGAACCAAACATCAGATGAATATTCTGCGAGTTCCTCTTCTCCTGAGTCTGATATTAATTTTATGGATTTCTCGGGTTCTTGTGAAATAGATAATCTTGGATTGGACTTGGAAAAGTACCCTTCGGTGGAGATTGATTGGGCAGCTATATGAGTCATCTTTTGTTAAATGACTATGTTTTAGGTTTCGTATGTATGTATCTATTCTCATGTTGTAATTTAGGTTTGGTTTTGGTGTCTGGGTGGCAGTAACTGCAATGAAATTTTTGACAGTTGCAGTTAACTTGCTGAGTCATAGTGGTGGTTATGGCTTTCTTGGTCTGCTGGTGGTTTTTATTCCTTGCATGACCATATGGGAGCTTCAACATGTGTCTTGCCAACTTGTTTGTTTCTGTTTCATATGTAATTAAAGTTCCTTAATAGTTAATTCAAGTTTTTTGGCAGAGCAATTGGATGTACCCTTTCATTACTGTTATGCACGCACTGGGTCGAGTATTTTTAGCGAGCTTTATTTCTCGTCCAAACACCAACTTTGTTTAAATTTGAATTAGCGTTTAGATTTTACATTAAAATGTTCACAGATTCGGTTTATTTTAATGTTAGTAATTATAATTTTTTAAGTTGAGTTATAGTTAGTCAATTCATAAATCAGTGAGTTGAATTCAACAAACTAACTTAGAACTTAACTAGTAATTAGTCAATCGGGGTAAGCTAGATTGGTCGTTATAAGGCACCTCTAAGCAAGGATCAATATTCTTTGTTCTTATAAACACATTTATTTTTTTTGAATTTTTAATTTATTTAGAAAATGTGGAGAGGATGATGCCAGAACGAATATAGTGTGAAAAAGACCTCAAAAAAGAAGATATGCCTACGTTTGTTGGACTAACAGTGGTGAAAATGAGCATGAGGAATCCTTGGAGAGCTAAATTGGCTTGGCATAACCTTTCCCTTTCTCTCTTTTTCATCCTTTGCTCTCAAATTTTTCCTTTCGAGATTGTTCCTTCTACAAAGATATTGAATATTATCCTAGAAAAGGAATGTGAATGTGATCTAGGACTTGCAACTCGAAGTTATTAAATGGATTCCGTGAAGAAGGGATAAAGCTAATTGTCCGCGTTGTTCCTTCACTTTACAACCTTTAATGATGTGGGCTTGGAGCAAATTGCGTTGTTGATGTATGTGCAAGCTAAGAATCATATTTCTCCTCTCTCTCTCTCTCTCTCTCTCTCTCTCTCTCTAAAGGTTGCCATAGGCATAGATAGTGGCTAGATTGTCTTGAACTGGGTTTACCGACAAAAATTAAAATTTGAATTGATTAACTAATCGAATTAAAATTGATCAAATTGATAGCTTTTACTTGTCCGGCATGGTTAAATTGATTTACATAAAGGGATAGGATTGGCTTTTTTTAAAATAAAAAATTCAAAGTATTAAAATATTCTACGTCAATTAAGAACAAGTTTAAAATATTTCTTATTATACAGTTTGAGGAAACCGTTTTATAAGAGTTTTTTTTTTTTTTTTAAGAATAAATTAGGTCTAGGTTTCTAGTTTGTTAACATGATATTAAAATATATTTATGATAATTTACTTGGCTTATGTTTAATTGATTTTTTAAAAAAATTCAACATCCAAATGATTAAAACTTAGTTAAAATTAAATAAAAAAAACTGATTTTTTTTTTTAAGGATTAATGGTATTTGTAGAACTATCGAATCAAATCATTTACGTAACATGTATAGGCACACGCTTGTGAATTCAGCCAAACCTTAAACCGAACCTGAACTGAAATAAAAATAACTAAATCTATAATATAAACATTTGATCACTAATTTAGTGAAAAATCAACTTAATCAGTCTTGAGTCTATCCAATCTTCAAATGTGTTGATTGGATTTTACTCTTCGTTTAATTGTTTCAATTTTCCTCTTTCTTGTGGGCATCCCCCCTCCCTCCTCCCTCCCTCTCTCTCTCTCTCTCTCCATATAGTTATTATTTGATTCTTCTTATAATAGAAATCGAAACTTATTTTTGGATATCCATTTACATACACCATGAGTGACACTCCTCAAATAAATTATCAATTTATTGTTTTGAAACATTTTTAACATATAAATATCGTAGGTTAGGATTAGACCCATAACTTTTTCCTTTTACCTCACTAGCCCACCAAGAACGTTGTGTTTCTCTCTCAAACTGACAATATCTATTGTGTTCTGGGTTTGTCTTGCACATTTACGAACTTTGGTGCCTCTTTGTTGTTCAGTTTGATTCCCTTTTTGGATCAAGGTGAATTGTTCTTCTCCCATACTTTTGTGTCTTCATGTGTTTCAAAGTCTTTCAGGTCCTCATTAATGACCCAAAAAAGAGTCTATTACCTTCGACCCAAAAAAATTAATTTCTATTAGGCCCATCCAGTCAAGGGAAATATTTTAAGGTTTAAAATCATTATTATATTTGGACCCAAAAAAATATTATTATGTATATTTAAGAGTTTGTACAAGAATTTTAAAAAATTATATTCTAAATTTTATATATAAAAAGTTATTATTTGTACCAAATAAGACACCACCGATCTTACTTACAGAAAAAAGAGAACTGAGTACTCTTCAGTCGTATAAAATAATTAATCCAATTAAAAGTAATAATCAAATTATTATATATTATTAAAGGGCCAAAACTAAGGTTGACTTAGTAAACCCATTAGCCTAGATAGGTAAGGGATGAACTTTTGAATATTTAATAAGTATTTATCAGAGTGTCTTTTACAGATACTTTCTCCACGTCAGCAACGTACAGAAGGACGTCATTCTACTCAGGTAAAGATCAGAAGATCAGTGTTTCACCAACATAAACATTATTTAATTTTTTAATACTTTCATTTATTATTTTTAATATCTTTTTAATATGTGTGAGAGAGATTCAAGCTTGATTTATGGATAATAATAATAATAACAATTCATTTTTCTTTACGGAAAATGGTCATTTTTCTTTTATAATATCTAGCATTAAAGTTCCTACCTATCATGTCCATTATTGCTGGAATGCACCTAAATCAATCAGTTTTCTTTGTTGGTTATGGTTTTTGACCAAACAATAAGGTAGATTGGTGGAGTCGGGTATTATATCTGAAAAGTGAAATCAATCCCACCAATTTCATCCATTCTGGTTTTCTCTGTTGAATTTATGCATCATTATACATCGACTCGCTTTCTTTAGAATAGTCAAGGACATTAACATTAGCAGATAATAATAATTTGGATGCTGCAACATAATATTGCTGGTACCATTCTCTTTTTAGACTTCATTTGACTAAGTGCAACAATTTAGTGTAAAAAGAATATAATTTTATAAAAAATATTCATCTTAAGCTTGAGGCCCAAGATGAATCTCTCATCTGATTTGCTAACAGGAATATGGGCTGGGCTGGGCTGCTGAGCATTTGCGGGTTTTGGTTTTGACGTTGGTTTGGAGAAAAAAAACACCAACCAAAAGATTATTACATGGTTTTCAAGGTATTGTGTGCAATGTCGTACAGTTTTATTCCCAGCTAAAATGATCTAACAAGAATAGGGATAGAGGGAAAGGGAGATATAGTGATGTCCTCATCTCAACTTCAAATTGGCATTGATGCCATTTCTTGATTGGGACAACTCCCCCATTTTATAAGGTAACAAATTCTAAAAAAATCTGTTATCATAAAATATTATTATTATTATTATTTTAATTTTTAATTTTTGAACTAATATCGTCAAAGCACTAGTTAATAACAACTTTTTAATATAATATAAGGTCTCTTATTCTTATTTAATGCACTGGAAATAGATTTTGACCATATTACTTGGAGTGGGAATCTCAAAAGCATGCAAATTATAGAGTGATACTTTGTTTTTCTTTTCAAAATTAATGATGCATTGCACAAGTGAAGCTGTAAGTAGGCTTAATTTGGAACCTTACATTGGTATTTATAATTGATTATTGCCAATATTCTGAGTCAAATCCTAACTTCTCCAAAAGAAGTAAGAAAAAGTATGGCTATTGGCCACTATTTTATGTTGAAAAGATGAAACCAGTTAGAAAGAAGATTGCCCCGCGAATTTCTGTGGTCAATGATTTTTTTAAGTAGTGTTTGTCAAAGTCAAAGTTGGCTCTGAAGGAGAAAGCAAATGGGATTTAACCATGATATTTCAACATGGGTTTTCGATTATATAAGGATTGAAGATTATTACTTTTAAAAATTAAGTATATAAATCTCATTACATTTATTTATTTTCTTTAAATTTATCTGAGTTATCTTACAGGATAAATAACTTCATCTTAAACAGATTAATAAGATTTTGTCGATAAAAAATTAAATAAAGAGTTCATACAATTTTTAATATAATATCTTGACTTCATTAATTTATATAAAATTAAATTATTTACTCTATAAAATAAATTAAACAAACTCAATTATTAAAATCATTTTATATTATTTTTTTACTGAATATACATAACAATATAATTTTTAACGGAAAAAATGTGTTCATTTTAATTTTTAAGCTAGCGAAAGACTATCGTTGTTATCGCGTTCCAACTTTTGCTGTTTTATAGTAAAAAAAAAAAACCTGCTTTCTACGCACGTGCTTCATTAATAGAGCTAGTAAAATGAGCATTACAAAAAAAAATATTTATTAACACATAAAAGTTGTTAGGTATTAAAAAAATCCTTATTTATGTAGTCTTTATTTTTTTTAAAAAAAATTGTTAATACAAATTTTTAAAATTTATTTTAATAAATTATGTTTTATACTAATACTTGAAATATTGATGGTATGTATTATTATTTTTACTAATATATTATATTATTAATATAAATTTTTAAAACATATATCATTTTTTTTTTCTAGTCGAAGGCTATACTAGCAAAAATTATTCTAATGCTTAATATATATTTTTTGTTTGATAGTAAATGACATTTTTTTTATAGTGGGGTTAATAACCTATTTTACTTTACTAAAAGCTTGAAAAAAAAGTTGACTTGTTCGTGTTTTCTAAAGTAACTTAAAACCTTTAACTCGATCCATTTAGAGTCGGCTAACAGCTTTACTTGCCAAAGATTGAAAATTTTTAAAAATACAAAGTAGTTTTGAAAACCAGTTTTCTTATAAATTATTAAATTATATTAATTTTAAATTTTAAATTAATAACTAAGTTTTTTATTTTAAAAAGAAACAAGCTCAATGAATTCAATTTACATATTAGCTAGTTAAGTAGGGTTAAGGAGTGTAAAATTTCATGCTCAATGCATTATTTTAAGTGAGTTTAATGGATCGACTCATCAAATGAAATCCACTTTATCATTGGTATTTAGAAGATGTACTAAATAATCACGTTAAAAAGACTACTAGTATAGAAATAAATGAGTTCAAAATTTACCTATGAAACATCAAAGAGGA